GTGTCAAGGAAATTTGAAATCTGGGGATTCACTCTGACATGGTATCATGTTCTCACCTCCATGGCCCCATCATGGCTTTCATCTAGACTTGAATAGAAGCATCTTCGTTTATGAGACTAAAAAATGATAAAGGTCAGAAAAGCTCACTTCTTTCCCAAAGGCCCGAAAATTCTACCATTTTCCAAGCATTTCTGACTAAAATTAATATGGCCTTGAAATGACTATCTCAAAAGTGTCTGGAAAGGGAGAAGACAACCTGGCTACTACAGTGGATAAGCAGATTCTCCTTCTCTTGGATAGCTTTTACCTGGGTAATGTCAGCCTGGTCATCTATTAATTATATTCCTAGTTCACTAAAAACCAGCCATGAATAGGCCAAATAGGGCTGGATGTTGAAAGCAAAGTCTGAAGATAATTATTTTTTTGAAATTTAGAATGTCACATATTTTGTATGAGAGAGAGAGTCCTGGGGTGATGCTAGGTTAATGTCCTGGACTGCAAAATAGGTTTGAATTACAAGGTCGGCAGTTCAAGCTTACCAGCTGCTTCTTGAAAACCCTATACAGGGTCACTATGGTTCAAACCAACTCGGTAGCATGTAAAAATAACAATATTCTTCTGTATGTTTTCTTTCTGTTTGGAGTGCCATATTGAGAAAGCCTAAGAGACTTGTTTCCGTCTATGCCAATAGTGTATGCAATGAGTCCCTGAGGACCTCACCTGTACCTCAGACTGATGCTCTTGGATGATGAGAACATTTGATCCACAATTAGCTTTGTCCATTCCATAGCTGCTCCAATGAACAAATCCAGCCAATTACCTAGACATTTTGTCACTTAGGATTCTCTTTATAATTCTGTTACATCTTATTTACATTTTTAATATATGTTCTTAGTTTTCTTTGACACTCCCTCCTCTCTTAGAATGACCCCAGTGAAGATGAGAAACCTCATGAAGTACTAAAAGAAAATGGAACATGCAGCTACAAAGTCACAGTGTTAATTCCAGCTCTGCTGATGATTTGCTGTGTGTCCTTGGGAAGTTCCTCACTTTCTCTGGCCTCAGTTTCCGCATCTCTTTACTGAAAGTCCTCTCAGGGCCTTCCTGCTCTGGTATTCTGTGATTTTCTCGCTTGGAAAGTTAGCTATCAAGTCCTTTTCTGAACAAATGCGCCTATGTAGAGAAGTGTCACTGTTTTATGAGAAAGTGGTTTTAAATATGAGTCCAAAATGGGGAAAAAGGTTAAATTCTCAGGAAAGAATTATATGAGCAGCTGATTCATTTCAGCAGTGACTAATTTATCTGTACAACTGTCACTTCTAAACTCTCATATCAAATATTCATCAGATCAGATATTAAATTCCCATGATTCGCCCAGATAGGTCCATGTAGCTTTTGTCAAAGAAAACCTGAGATGTAAATCGAATGGTCCATTTCTGTTTCTGACTTGAGATCTGCTGAGGATTTCTGCTGGTCTCTGGTGGATACCAGGATCCTCTTATTTTTCCACATTCTTAAGACACTCAAAACAGAAGATATCATGCCTGGAGGTATCAGTCATAAGCGAGTTTGTTATGTTTTAGGATTCTGGCCACCAAGAAAGTGATAGTTGCCACAAATAACTGTTCTAGAAAAAGCAAGCACAGAAATGTTCATTTAAGCTACAAAGGATACTTGCTTGGGATTCATTGTGTCCTTGCTATTTTTATCTCCCCATGATGCACTGTTCTTTCACAGCAGGGGGTGGAGCGCCCCACATTGGCATTCCACATCTGTGCATTCCCAGCTGGGTTCCCTACCCCACACACCCATATTATCTGTCCCCTTTTTTTTAATTCACCAAAATAAATGTAAATACTCACAATAAGATTGCCTAGTATTTTTTGGTTTCTTACTTTCTTATGGTTACTGGCCTAGTTATTATTGCATTCATTTAATTAATTAATTTTATCATTTAATCCTCATTAACACTCCCTGGAGGTAGTAAAGTTGATGATGCCCATAAGATAGTTACTTGGTAAAACTGAGGCTTAGAAGATTAAATAACTTGCCCAAAATATCCATTTAGTAATTGAAAGAGCAAGGATTTGAACTCAGCTTTACCTAAACTCCAAAGTACATCCTCCATCTGCTTTGTAAATATTCACTCAATACACAATAAAAAGTAAGTAAATAAATAAAAGGTGTATTTTCCAAACCTGGTGTGGTGCTGTGGGCTAATGCGTCAGATTGCAAAGTCTTTTGAACTGCAAGGTCAGTGGTTCAAGCTCACCAGCTGCTCCTTGGAAACCCTATACAGTGTCGCTATGGGTCAGAATCGACTTGACGGCACTTGACAACAATAAAAGTTGTTGTTTTAAGCTAAAACATTGTGAGAATGGTGATATTCAGTGAAATTCTCACTTAGGAATTTTAGTATGATACAGGAAGGTGAACAGGTGATGTCATCCGTCCTGTCACACCATCTCTCATAAATGCCTCTTCTTGAACTAGTATAGCATCACAACAACATGTCCAAAGACCCAGAAGGCACTGGGTTTCAGTCAGCCCATTATGAGTGGCCATAATGACTGTGAAGTCCTAATGTGGTACTGTAGGATAAGCACTGAACTGCTAACCACAGGTCAATGGTTAAAACCCACCAGCCTCATACAGGGTCGCTATGAGTTGGAAGACTCAATGGCACACAACATAGTGACTGTGAAGCTGCTCCCATGCACTATATTTAGTAGTAGATGCCAGGAGCACCCCTCCTTCCCCAAGTCATGACAATCAGAACTGTCTCTTGTGTTGCTGGTGTTGTTAGATGCCATTGAGTCAGTACCAATTCATAGCAGCCCTGTGCACAACAGAACAAAATACTGCCCAGTCTTGTGCCAACCTCACAGTCATTGCCACCTATGTCTGAACCCATTGCTGCTGCCACTATGCCAATCCATTTCGTTGGAGGTCTTCTTCTTTTCCTCTGACCCTCCATTTTACCAAACATGACATCCTTCTCCAGAGACTGGCCCCTCCTGACAGTATGTCTGAAGTATGAGAGAAGAAGTCTGGCCACCCTTGGTTTCAGGGAGCATTCTGGCTGTACTTCTTCCAACGCAGATTGGTTTGTTCTTTTTTTTTACTTTTTTAAAAATGTTTTATTGTGAATTATGTGATAGTTTACATGGGAGAACATTAGTTTTACATTCATTCTATCATTTATCATTTCATTGCCACGGTTACAATCCCCTCCATGCAT